AATACATGTCCCCTACCGGCCCCCGCTAGCTATTACACTGTAATGATTTATAAAAATGGTGTCCTTTGGTGTTAATTTGTAATTTGTAATTGTGTGAAGTTTGATCAAAATCCCTCAGGGAATGAAGCCGCTAGACCGCTGACAAGGATTTTCTAAAAATAGTAACGGTGACCTTGACCTTGAACTAACAACCCTGAAACTCGAACTTGTCAGAGATAATATGGTCCTTTGTAATTGTGTGAAGTTTGATCAAAATCCCTCGGGGAATGAAGCAGCTAGACCGCTGACAAGGATTTTCTAAAAATAGTAACGGTGACCTTGACCTAACAACCCTGAAATTCGAACTTGTCAGAGATAATATGGTTCTTTGTAATTGTGTGAAGTTTGATCAAAATCCCTCAGGGAATGAAGCCGCTAGACCGCTGACAAGGATTTTCTAAAAATAGTTACTGTGACTTTGACCTTCACTTAACAACCCTGAAATTTGAACTTGTCAGAGATAATGTGGTCCTTTGTAATTGTGTGAAGTTTGATTAAAATCCCTCAAGGAATGAAGCCGCTAGAGCGCTGACAACAATTGGTGTTACATACGTATGTACGACTGTATAGGTACGTACATACTCAGACGGACAGAGACAGAGAGGAAAACAATAGTCCCCCCGGTAGGGGACTAATAAAATAGTTACTACTTGTCCGAAAGATTCTTATACCAAACTTAAGTAAAATTTGTCCAGCTGTTCTGGATGATTTGTCGTTAAAAAAGCAAAATGTTGAGTAATATGATGGGTTTACTAGGTGGAAGAAAAAGACAGAACTACATCCGAGATTTTGATTCTCAAGTTTATTGATACAAGTTTCATGCTTAGCGCCAAGTTTTACATTAAATGTACAGGACTTGGTCTTAATGTGTCGACAAACCCACAAACACCAGCATCACAACACGTGGCAATTAATTTACAAAGTAGTAACACTCATTTTTACACTTTTAAAATAATATCAATGAATGTTGAGTTCATACTGAAGACTTTAATGTATCATTAACCCTTTCACCCCTAAAGTCACCTTTGAACCTTATCAAATCAAAGACTGGGCAAGTCCAGTTTAAAAATGTAGGGGTGAATGAATTAAATACATTTTTAATTTTGTCGACCCTTCATTGAATTTGCTCTTCTTTGATTGGAAAAGGTGTGAGCAAAACAAAATAAAGATATGTCCAATATACAGACATATAGCAATACACGTTGGTGTCACCAAACGTTGGACATCAAACTTTCAATTTGGATTCTAGTTGCAGACAGAAATGTGTAAAGATTGTTAACATCAACATTTCTTTCAGATTTGTCCGAGTTTTTCTACTGTGGCACATGTTTTAAGGCAGCGACAGTTTGGATACAGATTTAAATAGAGAAGCACTATTTCATTAACCCGGTCATCCTCTGTTTCCAAAAGACAGACAAAGGATTGAAAATAAAAACAAACTATGTACCAATGTACTTAAAATCAAGTTTCTTTGAAAAAAAGCTCTTGGTATAAAAAGTTTACCAAAATAATGAAATGAATCGATTAAGATTGTCACTGATGATGAAAAACTGGTCCGCTTGGCTATAGGTAAAGGATGATCCTACGAGGGAATGTACTGTTGGTTAACTTAAAACGTAACTGATTTTCTTCTTTTATTTTTGGTCTTTCAACTTCAAAAAGATGTGCAAGATGAAAAAAATACTTTCGTGATGTTAACGTGAAGATACATGTACTACTGTAACAAGAAATCTGTCTAAATCACCTTTCACACAAATACAGAGAGTTTCAGTACATAAGATCACACAAATACAGAGAGTTTCCGTACATAAGATCACACAAATACAAAGAGTTTCCGTACATAAGATCACACAAATACAGAGTTTCCGTACACAAGATCACACAAATACAGAGTTTCAGTACATAAGATCACACAAATACAGAGAGTTTCAGTACATAAGATATATGATCTAAGCTTTAAAGCACAATTTGATATTGATTGTAGACAAGACATTCATTATTCATCATATTATAGGTGTATATTAAATTCAGAATTAATATACAGAACAGCCCAAACTACCATACCATTTTGTTAAACTTCTTCAAACTTCCAATCAAATACCAACAGCATGCATTCAATCTTACAATCATATTCAATATCCAACATACTCAATACCTTGATTGACATGACAAACTTTCAATTCAATCATATTCAATAAGTCAACATAATGACAAACTTTCAATTCAATCATATTCAATAAGTCAACATAATGACAAACTTTCAACTCAATCATATTCAATAAGTCAACATAATGACAAACTTTCAATTCAATCATATTCAATAAGTCAACATAATGACAAACTTTCAATTCAATCATATTCAATAAGTCAACATAATGACATACTTTTAATTCAATCATATTCAATAAGTCAACATAACATTTCTTTCCATTCAATAACACTCACTAATAACACACTTTTCAATTCAACATTAGTACATGTAGGTTATATGATATTCAATAACTAGACACAATGCCACACTAAAAATTCAATAACATTCAACGACATCATAATGACACATTCACAATTCAATCATATTCAATAACTTGACAAAACGACATATAATAATGATCAACCAGTACAAAAACACTTAAATTAGAAATTCATATGTACATATAAATACATATGTATGTCATGCTTGTAGAAATAACGGTTGGTCCGACATCATGAAATTCTTAATAATGTTACATAATCTATACATGTTAGTTATGTAGGAATCATTCATCTTATCAGCAAACAGATTGTAAATAATTCACTGTTCAGTTGATCATGAGAGAGCTCTGTCCTACAGTATGACGATAGCTTGACGAGAAATGGACATCCAATATCTTCCTAAAACTCAAATTCATCATGGAGTCAAATCAGCAATCAATTTAATACCTAAAGCAAGGTAAACTAAATCTTAATAAAAGTTAAGCTAAAATAAAATTGGTTCTTATAATGCTAATACTTTTCAAAATTTCGTTTTTATGTTGTTTTTTTCAAAGCGTACACAAATGATTTTGATATGGAATTGTGCAGTTATGAATTTATTTCAGTTTAAATTTTTCTAATAATTATTCTTAACCTAACAAGGCTTTCAAAAGTTTAATGCTTTTGATGGTGACAAAACTTTAGAACTTTTTCATTCTTTTATGAAATATCCATAACCCATAAAACGAACTCCATCTCGCATACCGGTAAACTTCGGTCAAATGACAATGTCAAAGATTTAATGATGCTGAAGTCACAGGAAATTAAAAGCTACCAGTCATCCCTAACAATATATCAAATTTCTACATCAGACTAAAGCTATACTCAATCAATGAACAGTAATTGTAACACCTGTTTAATTCTCCATACTTGTAAAAAACAAAATATCACAAATCTTTGGAGATCTAAGAGTACACTTCCTCCGGTGGACTGTTTGACAGAACACAGACCAGAAATCATCTTTGTTCCTTTCAACAGACACTCTTCCCTATCTTAACCGTTCTCCGCTCTCCCAGTTCAGCGTACTTTTAGATTAGAATAATGCTAATTTATCACACCTTTCCAGAACTCTTCAACATTAGGAGGTCAACAGTTCCGATGATGAATGAAAATAATACCATTATCTTTTGATATTAATTGGATATTTTGTAGATGAAACAAAACTGACATCAGTCAGGATACTTCAGATTTTGTATCTTCCGTTATGTGGAAAAATAAAGTCTGTGATACCTGTGCGTTAGTCAAAGTAAAAGGAAACAAACTGTGGACAGGTATTCAATGTAATTTTATGAGATTTCATCAGGTTTTTTAAAATCACTCAGATGAACAGTGAAGATTTTTTTATCAATCATATTTAATTTTTTCTGCAGTCATACCTACTGTAAAACTATCAAATATAGTAATGCTGTTACATTGATAAAGGTAGATAAATATTGACAGATCTATGTACATAAGCTAGATGAACCAAACGGCTTCAATGGAGATCAAAATGATTTCCTAAGAAAAGACACTTCTACAAAAACAAAAAAAGATAAGTTCCCATCAAAATGAAACTTTACTTAATAGACAATTAAATCTCTATATGAACTACACATGTTTATTGGACCCTAATAGTAACTATATATAATCATGGGCATATAACAACACAGAATTACATTAGTGTAACCTCAATAATCTAACTTGGTTCTGGAAAACGGAAAAAATAAACTTATCTCAAATTTCACGACCTTTTCATTTCTCTTGTGAATTTCCTATCGACCTTTTGAGAGAGTTTTTGTGTTCTAGTTGCAGAAATTCTTTGCTTTCCTCATTTTCCGAGACATTGGAGCATTTGGATTAAAGAGGTTCACGTTCTAACAACACCAAAGCAGCAATAAGTTAGGGTTAAATAGAAGAGGCACTGGGATATATAGGAATACATTATCACAGATTCAAGTTGGACTGCCATTATAATACTACATTGAGTGGGGGTGTGGGTGGAGGGGGGCATTGTAATTGGTAGAGGGCAGGGATGGTGGTTGGCTGGTTTATGAGAGAGGGGCGGGTGTGTGGGTGAATAAAGACAGAGGCTACAGGGGGCTCAAACAATAAGAAGTCGCACAATGCAGCAGGCCTGAAGGTTGGTTGGTCGCTTTCAGGGAGAGAAGTGAGAGCAGGAACTACTGGACTGGGACTCCAACCGTATGGTGTCACACACTGTACTATTTACCACTATATCCTGTATGGTGTCACACACTGTACTATTTACCACTATATCCTGTATGGTGTCACACACTGTACTATTTACCACTATATCCTGTATGATGCAAATCAGTAACTGAATGTATAATGCCAAATCTACATAACAGTTATAAAGATACCTAAATCATAATTGGCATATACATGTCAGACCAAATCAATTATTTGTGGACATGTTTCATCAGCTACACAATGAGGAACAGGCTCTCTAACCTTTAATGATTTGTGTAGAGGTCATGGCTCTCTAACCTTTAATGATTTGTGTAGAGGTCATGGCTCTCTAACCTTTAATGATTTGTGTAGAGGTCATGGCTCTCTAACTTTTAATGATTTGTGTAGAGGTCATGGCTCTCTAACTTTTAATGATTTGTGTAGAGGTCATGGCTCTCTAACTTTTAATGATTTGTGTAGAGGTCATGGTTATCGCTCTTGAAGGCTACTGTTTTAAACTGTTTACAAACAAAATGTTCAGATGAAGGTAAAACACGATAGAATATAAAGACAACTCCATGCCATGTGATTTAGAACATCAACAGTGTTACACTCATGTATGATAGAGTTCTTGAAGGTGAATCTTTCTTCAAAGTTGCTGTTTGAGCCCGAGCTGGTACAAATATGATGTTGAATTCAAGCTAGAAGTATCCCCAGTTCATCTAGTGCTACATTACACTTGATATCCATCACAGCTAAATATCTAGACTGTTAAGTTGGGGGAGTTGTCTACATCGCTGAGGTCAACTTTCATGTCTAAAGGCCAAAGAGGTCACCAATTATACCTAATATAAGCATAACTGTCCTGAGTCATTCAGTCATCTTTTGGTTTGCTGGAGTTCCTATTTTTATTGATAGTTTGTGTTTCTTCTTACATATTACATCTGTGTTTTGAAGTAGATGAATTACTAAGTTAACTTTATTAAATAGGGTGATTAAGTCATTCTTGATTCTCCACTGTTGGCACAATACAATTTTAAAAACAAATATTTGATGTGTATGGTGATAAACAAATATTTGATGTGTATGGTTGATGTGCATGGTGATAAACAAATATTTAGGGAATTGTTTGCTACTACATTTCTTTAGATCTTATTCCTTCTTCAAAATCAACTTCTTCTTCAGAGTCCTTTTTGATAAAACCTAATTTGGACTTTCAAACAATTTCATGAAATATAAGGGCATGTCAGATTTGAAATAAAACAATTATATATATCTCTATTTCATAAAACTTTGCCAAGAACAGCTTTCCCCATTGTACTGACTACCTCCGAAAAAACCCTGAACAACCTGTAAAAAACAAAAACAAACATTTCAACAATCTGTAGCTTTTGACAGCGCATAGCACCCCACTGGGGCCAATTCTCTAATTTTACCCCCAATTTACCCGAACAGCATGCCAAAAAAATGTGACAGCTATCTAAATTTTCATATGTTCGAGTAAAAGTGACAAACTTACATAAAAAAAAACCCAGATATTATATGTTACAGCTAATTTGAAAATATGGTAATATTTAGCGCCCCACAACCCACCTTCGGTTACATCTCCACAAACACCCAAAATCAACATCCTAGACCACCCACAACTACAGTCTGGAATACATACGCAACAAACCATGTTTCAGGATTCGGAATTAACAAACGTAGCGCTCATCATTGAGATATACAGACACATCATAAGGAAAGAAATTAATTTATTCCCTAGACAAGTTGAGTAATCATGACCTATGTTGTAACGCCGACATTTGATGGAGGGCTGCCATCAAAAAATAAATGAAAGCTTGATGAAGGAATTATGTTTTCACACGTCAGATAATGTAGAATACGTACGGACGATGCTGATGCAGTAATTACAAATCCGAGTTCTTGAGTCATTCTGTGTAATTTTTCTGGCTTGCAGAGTTCCCTATTTATTTTGCCTTAATACAAAAAGGCCCCGATTTAACTGGTGTGGAGAATTACCTTCTCAAGCAATGGTTTCCTTCGTTTTCTTAGAGCTTCATCCAACAAATTTAAACACAGAACTACTTTGACAAGAAAACTGAAGAGTGATCACAATTATTAACCAAATTCCTGAAAAATCTGCTTCAAAACAATTTGTAAATTCAAAAGGAAAAACGTATTTACTAAGATTGATTTTAATCAAACTAAAAATGAAATGATAGATGGGCCATGTTTTTTTTTTTTTTTTTTTTTTATATCAAACTGATATCTGACAGGTTCCATGTTTTAATGTTATGCCATATTCACCAATATCAAAATATTTCAAAACAAATCTGAGATAGACATTAATAGTGGCATTACAATAGTGTAGGCTTCGGAATCTGCACTTTCGCAATCACAAGATTTTACTATTTATAGTAACACCATTACAAAATGATACGTTTTATAGTAACACCATCACAAGATGATACTATTTATAGTAACACCATCACAAGATGATACTATTTATAGTAACACCATTATAAGATGATACTATTTATAGTAACACCATTATAAGATGATACTATTTATAGTAACACCATCACAAGATGATACATTTTATAGTAACACCATCACAAGATGATACATTTTATAGTAACACCATCACAATATGATACATTTTATAGTAACACCATCACAAGATGATACAATTTATAGTAACACCATCACAAGATGATACAATTTATAGTAACACCATCACAAGATGATACGTTTTATAGTAACACCATCACAAGATGATACATTTTATAGTAACACCATCACAAGATGATACAATTTATAGTAACACCATCACAAGATGATACAATTTATAGTAACACCATCACAAGATGATACGTTTTATAGTAACACCATCACAAGATGATACATTTTATAGTAACACCATCACAAGATGATACAATTTATAGTAACACCATCACAAGATGATACAATTTATAGTAACACCATCACAAGATGATACGTTTTATAGTAACACCATCACAAGATGATACATTTTATAGTAACACCATCACAAGATGATACAATTTATAGTAACACCATCACAAGATGATACAATTTATAGTAACACCATCACAAGATGATACGTTTTATAGTAACACCATCACAAGATGATACTATTTATAGTAACACCATCACAAGATGATACAATTTATAGTAACACCATCACAATATGTTACTATTTATAGTAACACCAGTACCAAAAGACACTATTTATAGTAACACCATTACAAGATGATACTATTTATAGTAACACCATTACAAGATGATACTATTTATGGTAGCACCATTACAAGGATGATTTACCGGGTGTTGTAACATCACATACAATTTCTGGATGATCCTTTATTCATTAACATAAAGTATCATCCTGAAAATGCAATTTACGAAACATCTGCACAATTTTGTTCATAGTAACCTATTAAGTACCAGTAGCCAACTATTTCACTTTCAATGTGCTTTGTTATTTTTGACAGCCACAGATCAAACTTGTAACTGATATTGATATATATACAAATGAATTCTATCATTTGAAGAAATGAAAAAAACAACAACTTTACATTGTAAAATTTGTTCAATAGTAAACTAATATCTATGAAAATAAATAAAATTTATAACCTAACTTTAAAAACTAAATTCTATATAAAACAATAATTAAACATATGTAAATCACATCACTAAAAGACGAGTGAAATGATCTGAGTAACACAAATGAAACAAAAATAACAAAGTGTGTATCCCACCAGATTTTGGAGTATATGCCACCTTACACATTATACCTATATTTTAGGTACAAGGTATTTGCCCCTGGAAATTATTGAACAAAAGTTAGCTAATAATTGATAATTTACACAATTTATATCCATTGATCCATGAAATCTAGTGAATTCTATTTGAAATAGGTTTCATTAAATACTTCAAGCTCAAACCAATATTTGTAAAGAGTGATTGACATGTATCTTAGCTCGGACCTCTTTGGAGAGGCGGTGGATTTCACAGTAAGGTAGCAAATATCCTTAAGAAAGAGTTTCTGTTTTATTAATTTGGGGAAAATTACAGCATTCTCATAAAACAAATGAGTCCTGTTGTATACAATGAGATCCTGTTAAATCACAAATAGACTATCAAGAACAGAATTCTTATTTCGAAATTGGATTTTTTTTAACGATTATCAAGGACACTTTGAATGGGTTTATAAAAGTAACAGGGACTTGAACCCAGAACCATGATTTATGGGACAAGGCCAAGAGGATTGCCTGATTTATGGGACAAGGCCACGATGATTGCCGAAGTCATCTACATTACTTCAAGACAGCAAAAATAATGCTGTAACAACTTTAAAATAAGACGTAACGATCTTGTTAACAAATCTTCATTGTTCGTTCAGACTAAAGGAAATCATTTTGTAACCAAATACACGTATCAAAGATACAAGTAACTACTGAAATCATTTCAATTTAGCACATGAATGAAACCATTTTTGTTTTTTTCCTTTCATGTATATAATTATTAATCAAAGAAGATTTGAGGACTGTTTACAACCAATTCCATAACGTCCCCAGCGGTGATCGCCACACCTACGCTCATTACCTCAGTAGTGATACTTCTAATAAAACAAGGAAAATAGTAAGGACGAGAAATTCTACTTATTTTCATTAACGAGATATTTGTAATCATCTATGGTGTTGAGGAGTAATAACAAAACCCCACTGCACTGATTACCTGTAAATAAACGTAGGCTCCATCATACAATTTACAAGCCCACTATTTGCACGTGTTCTACGTATGCAATTAAGTCTGAGGAACAAAACAAATAGTGATTCAGTGTACGGAGGTGGTAAACATATCAGACATACTCGTCTTATTTCTGGCAACAAAGTTGTGCCGAGATTTATATCGTAATGATGACAATGGATAGTGATGACTTTACAACAAATGAGCTGGGAACAAAACACAGATCCACGCTATTGTAACGAAATTCTGGGTTACGAAATTTTGAAGTATTCCTGTGCTGCCATCCACTGCTCCATGGGAAATCTGGATGCTGTCTGCATTCTAGGATGTTCTAGATCTTTTATCTTCTCTTTTTCTAAAATGAAATCGAAGGTAAATTAGATTTATATAACATATTTGTTATGAAGTTAATACAAACATGTTCTGATCTCGGTTGGAAGAAGATAAACTACCTATGACTGTAATACAGAGGATAAACAAGAGGCCCAAGAGGGCCTGTATCGCTCACCTGAATATTTAAGCAGTCATAGCAAAATATTCTCATTAAATATTATATTGCACTAAAAATATTTCCCTCCCAAACTTTGTTGGCTCCATCTGTTGAATCTACCAGCAAAATATTATTATTATAAGATCCTATGCTTTTTGATTCTTCTTTAGAAGTTGCTTGACATAAGGTCAATGTCATTTTCCTTCTCAAATTGGTTAGCTCTATTCCAAAAAGCTACCAGCCAAATCCATTCCTTTTAGTTCTCAAGAACAAATCCATTAAAATGTTGTTGACCTCTGTGACCTCTAGAGTAGGTTGAGGTCATTTTCATTCGCAAACTTTGGTGAGCTCTATCCCAGGAAGTCCCCAGCCAAATATTATAATTTTATGCCTTTTAATTCTTAAGAAGAAGCTGTTTGAACTGTTTGACATATTTGAACGCTGTGACCTTGAAAGTAGGTCAAGGTCATTTTCATTCTCAAACTTTGTTCGGCTCTTTCCTAGGAAGCTACAAGTCAAATATAGAGATTCTATACCTTTCAGTTCTTCAGAAGAAGTCGCTTGAAGTGTCTGACACATTTGACTCCTGTGACCTTAAAAGAAGGTCAAGGGCATTTTCATTCTCAAATTTTGTCGGCTCTATCCAAGGAAGCCATCAATCAAAAATAAAGATTCTATACCTTTCAGTTCTTCAGAAGAAGCCATTTGAAGCTTTTGACATATATGACCAACAAACAAACAAGTGACCTTGAAAGTAGGTCAAACTAGTTTTCATTTTCAAACGTTTTTGGGCTCCATCCCAGGAAGCCACCAGCCAAATATGAAGATTCTATACCTTTCAGTTCTTCAGAAGAAGTCGTTGGAAGCATTTGACAAATTTAAGCCCTGTGACCTTGAAAGTAGGTCAAACTAATTTTCATTTTCAAACTTTTTTGGGCTCCATCCCAGGAAGCCATCAGCCAAATATGAAGATTCTATACCTTTTAGTTCTTCAGAAGAAGTCGTTTGAAGTGTTTAACACATTTGACCCCTGTGACCTTGAAAGTAAGCCAAGGTCATTTTCGTTCTCAAACTTTGTAGGGCTCCTACCAACGAAGCTTTCAGCCAAATATCATGACTCTAGGCCTATCCGTTCTTCTTCAGAAGTTGTTTAAAGGAAAAGTTGACGGACGAGGACGGACGCCGCTTCGTGCCAGGTGAGCTAATAACTATAGAGATCACTTACTTGAGGAATCACAGGCTATAGAGATCACACTAGTACCTAAAAATCCAAAATATTAGCATGAAACTCTCATAACCCTGAGCTGTAGCTGTCACAGCCCCAACCTGTAACTCTCACAGCCCTAACCTGTAACTCTACCCGCCCTAACCTGTAACTCTACCAGCCCTTACCTGTAACTCTACCAGCCCTAACCTGTAACTCTACCAGCCATAGCCTGTAACTCTATCCGCCCTAACCTGTAACTCTACCAGCCATAACCTAACTCTATCAGCCTTAACCTGTTATTTTACCAACCTTAACCTGTAATTCTACCAACCCTAACCTGTAACTTTATCAGCCTTAACCTGTAACTCTCATAACACTAACCTGTAACTCTATCAGCCCTAACCTGTAACTCTCATAACCCTAACCTGTAACTCTCATAACACTAACCTGTAACTCTCATAACATTAACCTGTAACTCTCATAACATTAACCTGTAACTCTCATAACCCTAACCTGTAATTCTACTAGCCCTAACCTGTAACTTTATCAGCATTAACCTGTAACTCGCATAACCCTAACCTGTAACTCTCATAACATTAACCTGTAACTCTCAAAACCCTAACCTGTAACTCTATCAGCCTTAACCTGTAATTCTACCAGCCCTAACCTGTAACTCTACCAGCCCTAACCTGTTATTCTACCAACCCTAACCTGTAACTATATCAGCTTAACCTGTAACTCTTATAACCCTAACCTGTAACTCTCTTAGCCCTAACCTGTAACTCTCATAACCCTAACCTGTAACTCTCATAACACTAACCTGTAACTCTCATAACACTAACCTGTAACTCTCATAACCCTAACCTGTAACTCTCATAACCCTAACCTGTCACTCTCTCAGCCCTTACTTGTAATTCTCATAGCTATTACATAAAGCTCCCATAGCCCTATAACTATGGTTATTTTCCTATCCAACACTCTTTTGATCCTACTTTGGACCCAATGACAGGTGCCACGTTGTTGACCTGGTTAGATAACCCTCGACACCCTCTCTCACCTGTCATCTACCTGTGTTTACCTGTGATCTTAACGACCACTCGAGGTGTGGCCAGTGGAACCTTCAAACCTTTGACAGACAGAGCGGATTAGGCCCGATTAATGACACTTTCGATTGTCATGAAGTACGGCGGAGGACATTGTCAACCGTCAGTTCGCCTTAAACTTCCATCTTCATGGGGTCTCTTGAGGTCGATAAATTATGATGAGCAGTAATTCAAGAACAATAACAGAAGTGTAGGGGATTAGGTCTGAAAAGTCAACCCGGGCGACTCGCAGCTATTGTGACATGGACAGAACCCAGGAAATGGTCATTCAGGTCGTATCTGTGATGTTGTCAGTGCTTTATCAGCTTAATCATGTAGCATTTCAACTTCATTTATTAATTTACTTAGATGATCAAAAAAAGCTAAAATTTCAGAAACTGACTTGTTGATAAATAGAACACAAGAACAGTTGAAACCCTGAAAATATTCGAAGAAAAAAAATGCAACAATTTTTTTGTACTCCTCATCAAGAAAATCTAACCAAGCTGGCCTTTAAAATCTCAGGTGATTTTATACATTAATGGATTAAGGAAAGCCTGGTAGCCTCAGCTGGCACTAATCTTACTGCCAGGAGAAAAACTATTCAGATAAGGAAACGCCTGTAGATTCTTACAGGAAATACATCAAAATCTTGGCAAATGTCTTTTGACAATTTTACCTTTCTTTGACGGATGGAGTTTTGCCTGCAGCACTTCCAGCTGTTTCTCCTGTAAAATACAAAGAAAGGAGGAAAGATTAGAAACAATTGACCACTCTAACAAACTACCTCGTCAATCAGCACTCAAATAATCCTGTGAATTACTTTCCTTTTTGGGGGCTTACAAACAAATCAGGGCATGGATTACATTTATTATATAGATTTTAATAAATTTGGATCTAGTCAAAAAATTAACATTTTCATCATTTTATTTGTTCACCCTTTGTCTTTGATTTGAATAAGAGGCTAAATATAACAAGGATTGAAGAAAAAAAACATCTTTTACTTTAAATAAAATAAAGTAAAATCTCAAAACTGAGACATAAATTTAACAAATAGTGAACATACATGTATTTTAAAAGACACATGGCTGAAAATTTAGCAGGATGAACATCATACACTTATGAGAAGCTGAAGGTCTGCTTACAGACGATTTTGAGCCCAGTTCCTACAGAGTACAGTTTTTTTAAAATGAATCTTTAGTGTCTATCTTTGTATAAAGGATTTGTATCACCTATAAAAAATAAAACTTCTAATAAACACTGCACCAATCTGTGGCCATGATGTCACAGTGAGGACAACTGTTAAACGCACCTTTGAAATTCCGGGGAAAGATGGTTTTTTTTCGAACTGTCACAACTTCGGTACAGTATGCAGGAACATGCAAACTAGTTGCACCTTTAGAAGTTATAAAACCCTTAGGAAAATACAACATGCGCAAAACGTCGGAGCAATCTTGACACGTTAATTACAGCACTCCATCTCAAGATGCCTGAAAACGGCACAAGTGCCAGGACTAGATTGGTGAGGGGGTGTACGGTTGACAGGCATGGTGAATACAAGTACCCTTCAAGGGCCGGACTTAGCACTTACATAATTACCCAGAATTACTTAACCGCTGCCGTAATCCTCCCTTCCCCGAGCTGACATACATGATATGGAGCTGTGTTCCGTACACGTAAGCACGGTAGGCTCGACTATCACAAAACCCACCGGAACATCACCGGACGACCACATTTCTCACAGTCGGACATGGTTTAATCAACTCTTTAAAGTGCACAAATCAATGCCGACAGTTATCTTGAGGATTTCTGTGTTTGAGAAAAAAGTATTGAAAGGAAGTGGAAAGCAAACAGATCATATTGGGGTGTTCAGAAGTATATTTTCTGTCACAATATTCAACCAAAACTATCAGTAGTTTTTCACAATGACATTCATTTTCAAGAATATCACTTTTCACAATTCTTGCAGTTTTTTTTATTGTCATATTTTGATGTACGATATGTACATGTATTATAATCATGTTTTTCTTAGTACCAACATGAGTTACTGATCTTGATTTTTTTTTATATTTACATCAATTTTGAATATTGGAAGGTTACAATTTTGATATAATCAAAGAATCTTTGTCATTTTGTTATTATAAAGTTTATACAACTTATATACTAAAGGCAACTACAGATTTGTAAGTATATATTTCAGATGTTTTTGAGACTGCAAACTATTATGAATTCATACAACAGTTTTGTTTTAAAAGGGACCAATATTTCTAACCACAAGAGACCGCGGATGTCTGACTGCATGCTAGGAACTGAACCCAATGGAAAGGTTTCCAGATTTTCTCCCTAATGATTAAAATTTTTGAAAATACCTAACCCCAATAAATAAGGGTGGATTTTGACTTTCAAAGCCATTGTTATTTCACTGTTTGTTTGCAGGTACACGGCGGAACTCTTCAAAGGGGACAGGTAAATACGAGCCAATCAATACGCTGTTATAACAACGTAACGCTGCGGTCCAGTTTCGAGACGCTGGAGATTGCGGCCAATGCTAACGGAGAGATTCGCACCATGTACATTGTCATTTCATTAATCAGTGTTCCGTTGTAATTATTAAGCAGACAAGGGGAAGCTGGCTCGAGTGTTTACACTGCAACTTGTTAAACAATTGGCCAGACCAACAGATTCAACAGGAAGTTCGCTTATTGTCTCCCTTTTCCTCCGGGAGTTGGTGATTGTCGAAGCATTGATCTCCTCCTATTCAGGTACCAGATACACGCAGCAGATTTTCATACCGACACAAAGGTATTTGTTCTGAGCGAAGTTTCAAGTTACATATGTTTGGAGATAGTTTCAATGACATCAGTAAACAAACAGAGGTAAAATCCCCGTAGCAGTCGGTGCCAATAAACAAACTGGCTACGCACCTTGCATAAAAATCGCAGAATTACCTATAAATCAACAGAATCCTTTTAAAAAATACAGCGTAGTCACTGAATGAAAATGACACCATTTATTTTTTAAAGCCGTGCAGTACAATAGGACTTGAGGTCTGTTAATGAATTGTCCTAACAATGGCGACGAGTGTCGGGTGGAGAGCAAACACTTGAGGGGGCGGGCACAATACCAGGAGGAAGATGAGTCGGTCAATTGTAGTATGGTTAACTAAAAGAAGACTATTCTAATTTTCGATCTTGTTGTTACAATATCAATAAGGCAATATCAGCGAAACATTCAGTCAATGTTTTAATTGATCAGAAAATGTACCCTAGCATGAAAGTATACACAACCGCAGGAACTCCTAGGTAGATAAATATATGTTTACTAATCTAGAACTAAAGCTGTAAGGAACCTATATGAATGTGGTCCTTCCCTGAAAAACTATAAAAGACATGGTCCCCAGGGCCTGTATCTCTCACTCTTTTCTTGTCAAGATTTTTTTTTTTAGTGTTTCCACTTACTAGAGACTATGTTTTTTTTATTAGCCCAAAGAATTCAGAAACCAAAACTTGGTAAAGCTCACAATTGGTCTTTTGAACCAGTTGTAAAAACAAATATTTCTCTTCTCCCCCAGTGCAGTTTGTTTGTTAAAATGTTATTCTCAATGAAAGTAAAAACTGCTTTGTTATCTTTTTTTCTTCTTAATTCTATAATTGTTTTTCCTTTTTTGGAGCGAGCTTGGAATGGATGCTTTTATGATTGTAAGGTTGTGATCAGAATAATTTGACTCTGTAAACAATTGTAAACAATTTTACCAATATAAAAAGCATGACACTACACAATAGAAAAATCTGTAATGCATCGTTATGAAAGGTGTGACACTACCCGGTAAAATAAAACTGTAACGTATTACATGTACTACGAAAGGCGTGACGACAAAATAAATCATTCTGTAATGTACGGTTACAAAACTAATCAAACTTTAATGTATTAAACAGGCAATGTGGCCAATAGATCTGATATCACAACAAATAGCTCATCTGTGGCCCATCACCAAACCAGGATAGACCATTTTATGACGATATTATGATATTTTCTGTATTAAATATTCAGGAGAGAAGCTACGTAATTACATCTGCATGACAATTTATCTACCTATCTATTGACATGGGGGCGATCAGGCTGATCCATTGATGACAATTTTCTCACATCCGCAAACAAAACATCGTAAAATTGACAATAGACTATTGGGGGAGCCTGCGGGTAAAAAACTGTTATTTCCCGGCTACACTGTTTTAAAAATCTGCGATATAATCTTGGAGAAATGCTGCCAATCATCACCATCTGGTTGATGAAATCATTATTCAAGCATACACAATGATTTCCATATTCACTGAAGGGAGAAGAACATGAGTGACATGTTGTTTTCCCCGACGTTTTCCCCTAACAGTATATACAGTGGTTTGTTAACCTTTTCAATCGGTTTCCTTTGCCAATCCATGCTACACAACAAAAATTATTTAACACTATCAAAATTGTTCTATGGTATTGCGAGTGACTTTTTCTGCAAGTCTATCAACAACATGGAGATCAGCTTTTGTCTGTTTTCTTTCTTTATTTGGTATGTTCTCTCCTGTTAAAACTATTCAGACATCATATTCTATTGTTTCCTTGATGTTACCTTATTGTTCCTATCTATTGTGTTATGATATTACATCATTGTTATCTATCATACACTCATGATCAGTTATAACAGAGAAATCATACCCTCAGTGGTAACAAAGAAATCATACACTAAGTGGTAACAGAAAAATCATACCCTCAGTGGTAACAGAGAAATACCCTCAGTGGTAGCAGAGAAATCATACCCTCAGTGGTAACAGAGAAATCATACCCTCAGTGGTAACAGAGACATCATACTCTCAGTGGTAACAGAGAATTCATACCCTCAGTGGTAACAGAGACATCATACCCTCAGTGGTAACAGAGAAATCATACCTCAGTGGTAACATAGAAATCATACCCTCAGTGGTAACAGAGAATTCATACACTCAGTGGTAACAGAGAAATCATACCCTCAGTGGAAACAGAGAATGCATACACTCAGTGGTAACAGAGAAATCATACCCTCTGTTACCACTGAGGGTATGATTTCTCTTTTCCCACTGAGGTATGATTTCTCTGTTACCACTGAGCGTATGATTTCTCTGTTACCACTGAGAGTATGATTTCTCTGTTATCACTGAGGTATGATTTTTCTGTTACCACTGAGGTATGATTTCTCTGTTACCACTGAGGTATGATTTCTCAGTGGTAACAGAGAAATCATACCTCAGTGGTAACAGAGAAATCATACCTCAGTGATAACAGAGAAATAATACTCTCAGTGGTAACAGAGAAATCATACCCTCAGTGGTAACAGAGAAATCATACCCTCAGTGGTAACAGAGAATTCATACACTCAGTGGTAACAGAGAAATCATACCCTCAGTGGTAACAGAGAAATCATACCCACAGTAAATCATACCCTCAGTGGTAACAGAGAAATCATACCCACAGTGATAACAGAGAAATCATACCTCAGTGGTAACAGAGAAATCATACTTTCAGTGGTAACAGAGAATTCATACCCTCAGTGGTAACAGAGAAATCATACCTCAGTGGTAACAGAGAATTCAGACCATCAGAGGTAACAGAGAATTCATAAACTCAGTGGTAACAGAGAAATCATACTTCAGTGGTAACAGAGACATCATACTTTCAGTGGTAACAGAGAAATCATACCCTCAGTGGTAACAGAGACATCATACTTTCGGTGGTAACAGAGAAATCATACCCTCAGTGGTAACAGAGAAATCATATCCTCAGTGGTAACAGAGAAATCATACCCTCGGTGGTAACAGAGAAAGCATACCCTCAGAAGTGACCAAGACATTTTGAACAGGTAAAAATTGGATACAATTGTGTGAGTGGCAGGAGAACATTTATATGCTCAACTATGTCTCAGAAAAGGATTTTTTGTTTTAAGAGATTACAAGCGGTTTTAAAATGTGTCCCAGATTAGGAAATAATTTGGATGGATTTCCAAATATTGCTGATTGTCCTTGTCTATGTCTTTGGAAAAAAACAAAAGTATCTCTTGAAGAGTTCACAGGCAGATCTACAACTTAAGAATGACAGCTAAAAATAGTTAATTAATCAAAATGTTTACCAGTTTAAGACTTGGTCACCCCTGAGGGTACTTTAAATAACCTAGACGTTGTCAACACCACCAAGTTTTGTGATGTACAAAGTGAAAATAATATTTTTTGACATGACCGATCGCGAGTGCATACCTCAATGAAGTTGGACAGAAGCATACAGCTGAGTTCCTGTTCTAGGATCTGGCGATTGGATTGATTGTTGTAACACGACGAAATGAGGGTCGGAAACAGGACGTTGGTGAGGCGAGGGTCAGAGAAATACTTGAATGGTAGTGAACACATCTGTTGTAGGATGGTTGGTGGCTGACCAGACTGTATCACAACCTGTAACGGAAAAAATCTCATTACAACAGGCATCAGACTGTATCACAACGTGTAACGGAAAAAATCTCATGACAACAGGCATCAGACTGTATCACAACCTGTAACGGAAAAAATCTCATTACAACAGGCATCAGAACATGACCAATATCTAAACACGTCACATTTAAAATATCACATCTCAACACGTCACATTTAAAATATCACATCTGAACACGTCACATTTAAAATATCACATATCAACTCGTCACATTTGAAATATCACATCTCAACACGTCACATTTGAAATATCACATCTTAACACGTCACATTTAAAATATCACATCTCAACAAGTCACATTTAAAATATCACATCTCAACATGTCACATTTAAAATATCACATCTCAACACGTCACATTTAAAATATCCCATCTCAACATGTCACATTTAAAATATCACATCTCAACACGTCACATTTGAAATATCACATCTCAACACGTCACATTTGAAATATCACATCTGAACACGTCACATTTAAAATATCACATCTCAACACGTCACATCTTCATACAGTTTATCCATTTGTGTGCAACCTGACATTAATTATTTAGCTGAAAAACAATCAAATGATATTTTTTTTCCAATCCAATGTTCTTGATAGTTATGACTTAAAAAGTTGATTCATCAATACAAGTCCAATTTTAAGATAAATGTATTTATTACATTTTTGCCAGTGAAATGTCGGACTCTATCAATTCGACAAAATATCAAAATAATAAGCACTTTTTAGTATTGACCAATCATAACGGTATTTTCTATTCGCTGCATTCAAAGGCAACGATATTTTGTCACAGATTCACATGAAGCGACAGTAGAATATGTAGTTGTTATGGTAAATGTTTGGTACAGAGACTTAAGTATTTACATATATATACCAGTAATGACATGTTTATAAGCAATCATACCAGAAAATGTTGAAATTGCGTTGAGAATGCCACTCAAAATGGTGCGCAGTCTTGTTGTCAAGCGTGACGTCATTTGAATATGGCGCTAATAATTACGCTTCTGATTCCCGCCCTTCTTTAATGCATTGGATTTTTCATGCTTTATGCTTTAAAAATGTAATAAATAGAAAATGCAATGGTGTCTTCAGTAATAACAAATAGATTTCACTCGTGTCGCTAATATTTTGATATTTTTCACTCGTGCTGTGCACTCGTGATAAATATCAAAATATTAGCCACACTCCTGAAATCTATTTGTTATTACTGAAGACACCATTAAATATCCTCTATTTATGCCATGTAGTGTCAATCCTTTAACCTTCACCTTGAGTTGTGACCAAGTTTAGGGATAACTGATAGTGTCATTTTGAAATCCACAAAAAAAAAAATGTTTTAGATTTGTATTGATTTTCCTATATTAAAACTTTTTTTATATTGAATAATTTTAAATAGTTTGGGATTCTGCCCTTATAATATAAAAGCAAATATGTATTTATAACAAAAAGTTCCTGTTTACTGTTTTTTCCTGATCTTATCTGCTTTAACTTACAACTTTAGAGGATAAAGTACACCCACATATGAACTATTTACAACTATTTCAATGCATTTAAAAATCTTGTTTATGTTTTTGACTCATGAGAAATCATAAAATTACGTTAACATGAGAATTTCAATAAATCGAGCCAGTAAAACCGGTTCTTGCATAAATAACCTCTGACGAAAGTACGAAGATAGCATTCAGTTTACCTCAAAACACATGTAGTGAAGCGAAAAGCCCTCTTTGACACCCAGTAATACCAATGATTAAAACTTACACATAATTACATATCAGGTACATAATTCTTGTTTCAAGTTTCTCAATTTGTACATTCAACTGTCAGATCGGAATAAATTTCCAGAAATTAAGACGTCAATTTGGATAATCACTCTGGATACAAGATGTATGCACCTGAAGGAAATTTTACAAGTATTTTACAAGTATTTCCTCATAAATTCAGCCTAAACACATAAATTACGCCATCGCACATCTGCTTCTCAAGTTACCTTTGACCCCAAGTATCAACAGCTTTATTATACCGACCCTTCAAAACTTGACATGTGTAAAAGTTGTTTTTAATCAGAGAAAGCTGAACACAACTTAAAATCCGTTTGCTATACTCATGGAGCACATCATTGCGTAGGAATACCTGAGGAAAAGCCTGTGGTGTCCTAGGGAGCATTAGAGTGATTGATGGAACAGAAGGAGTCCCTGTATTCCAGTCGAGCCGGGACGGTATAAAACACCTATAGCGATACTCAGGGTCTCATTGTTAGTTAACTGCTAGTGTGGTGCTACCCCGTGGGAGCTCTGCAAGGACAGAACTTAGTTTATATAGACCCATCCATCCAAGGTATACAGTCAGGGGGAAACACTGACTTGTACAGTCTCACCTGAGGTATACAGTCAGGGGGAAACACTGACTTGTACAGTCTTACCTGTGGTATATAGTCAGGGGGAAACACTGACTTGTACAGTCTCACCTGAGGTATATAGTCAGGGGGAAACACTGACTTGTACAGTCTCACCTGAGGTATATAGTCAGGGGGAAACACTGACTTGTACAGTCTCACCTGAGGTATATAGTCAGGGGGAAACACTGACTTGTACAGTCTCACCTGAGGTATATAGTCAGGGGGAAACACTGACTTGTACAGTCTCACCTGAGGTATATAGTCAGGGGGAAACACTGACTTGTACAGTCTCACCTGAGGTATATAGTCAGGGGGAAACACTGACTTGTACAGTCTCACCTGAGGTATATAGTCAGGGGGAAACACTGACTTGTACAGTCTCACCTGAGGTATATAGTCAGGGGGAAACACTGACTTGTACAGTCTCACCTGAGGTATATAGTCAGGGGGAAACACTGACTTGTACAGTCTCACCTGAGGTATATAGTCAGGGGGAAACACTGACTTGTACAGTCTCACCTGAGGTATATAGTCAGGGGGAAACACTGACTTGTACAGTCTCACCTGAGGTATATAGTCAGGGGGAAACACTGACTTGTACAGTCTCACCTGAGGTATATAGTCAGGGGGAAACACTGACTTGTACAGTCTCACCTGAGGTATATAGTCAGGGGGAAACACTGACTTGTACAGTCTCACCTGAGGTATATAGTCAGGGGGAAACACTGACTTGTACAGTCTCACCTGAGGTATATAGTCAGGGGGAAACACTGACTTGTACAGTCTCACCTGAGGTATATAGTCAGGGGGAAACACTGACTTGTACAGTCTCACCTGAGGTATATAGTCAGGGGGAAACACTGACTTGTACAGTCTCACCTGAGGTATATAGTCAGGGGGAAACACTGACTTGTACAGTCTCACCTGAGGTATATAGTCAGGGGGAAACACTGACTTGTACAGTCTCACCTGAGGTATATAGTCAGGGGGAAACACTGACTTGTACAGTCTCACCTGAGGTATATAGTCAGGGGGAAACACTGACTTGTACAGTCTCACCTGAGGTATATAGTCAGGGGGAAACACTGACTTGTACAGTCTCACCTGAGGTATATAGTCAGGGGGAAACACTGACTTGTACAGTCTCACCTGAGGTATATAGTCAGGGGGAAACACTGACTTGTACAGTCTCACCTGAGGTATATAGTCAGGGGGAAACACTGACTTGTACAGTCTCACCTGAGGTATATAGTCAGGGGGAAACACTGACTTGTACAGTCTCACCTGAGGTATATAGTCAGGGGGAAACACTGACTTGTACAGTCTCACCTGAGGTATATAGTCAGGGGGAAACACTGACTTGTACAGTCTCACCTGAGGTATATAGTCAGGGGGAAACACTGACTTGTACAGTCTCACCTGAGGTATATAGTCAGGGGGAAACACTGACTTGTACAGTCTCACCTGAGGTATATAGTCAGGGGGAAACACTGACTTGTACAGTCTCACCTGAGGTATATAGTCAGGGGGAAACACTGACTTGTACAGTCTCACCTGAGGTATATAGTCAGGGGGAAACACTGACTTGTACAGTCTCACCTGAGGTATATAGTCAGGGGGAAACACTGACTTGTACAGTCTCACCTGAGGTATATAGTCAGGGGGAAACACTGACTTGTACAGTCTCACCTGAGGTATATAGTCAGGGGGAAACACTGACTTGTACAGTCTCACCTGAGGTATATAGTCAGGGGGAAACACTGACTTGTACAGTCTCACCTGAGGTATATAGTCAGGGGGAAACACTGACTTGTACAGTCTCACCTGAGGTATATAGTCAGGGGGAAACACTGACTTGTACAGTCTCACCTTAGGTATATAGTCAGGGGGAAACTCTGACTTGTACAGTCTCACCTGAGGGATACAGTCAGGGGGAAACTCTGACTTGTACAGTCTCACCTGAGGTATACAGTCAGGGGAAAACGCTGACTTGTACAGTCTCACCTGAGGTATAAGGAAAGGGGGAAACACTGACTTGTACAGTCTCACCTGAGGGATACAGTCAGGGGGAAACTCTGACTTGTACAGTCTCACCTGAGGTATACAGTAAGGGGAAAATGCTGACTTGTACAGTCTCACCTGAGGTATAAGGTAAGGGGGAAACACTGACTTGTACAGTCTCACCTGAGGTATGTAGTCAGGGGGAAACTCTGACTTGTACAGTCTCACCTGAGGTATATAGTCCGGGGGAAACACTGACTTGTACAGTCTCACCTGAGGGATACAGTAAGGGGGAAATGCTGACTTGTACAGTTTCACCTGAGGTATACAGTAAGGGGTAAACACTGACTTGTACAGTCTCACCTGAGGTATACAGTAAGGGGGAAATGCTGACTTGTACAGTTTCACCTGAGGTATACAGTAAGGGGGAAACACTGACTTGTACAGTCTCACCTGAGGTATACAGTCAGGGGGAAACACTGACTTGTACAGTCTCACCTGAGCTGTACAGTCACGAGAGTCGGTGTGTCTCTTTCATTGACTCCCATCCCAGAAAGATAGGAGTG